ATCATCACCTGTTCGTATCCAGCACCAACTTCGGACACAACTCTCAACGGACAGTAACGTGGCGCTCAAATTCAACTGGCACGCTAACTCAGATCAACCACATAGCAGTAAGTTACCGTTGGCGTGGTTCAGTACAAAGCTGCAGGTCCTGTTGGACCACTTGCTTTGAATCTGACCATGCGTTAGTTTTGATGCAGTTCACTCTCCAACTCAATGGTCGCAGAAAATTCCACCAAACTCGATCGACAGATCACCGCTTATCTGACCCAGCCCTTCGTGCCCGTTTTGAATCAGAACTAGGGCAAGAGCTAAATGCGCTGCGGGGTGGTCGTGTAGATGAATAATGGGATCAGATTAGCCGAGCAATGCACACCGCAGCGAAGGTTGTTTGTGAATCTGAAGCGGTAGCCCGACCGAAGTATTGGATATTTGATGAGTCAGTAGCATTGATGGAAAAAAGCGGCAAATCCCGACCGACCGGGATCAAGGCAAGGTTAGGTGGCGTCTGCAACGTCATCTCACGAGGAGCCTGAAGAAAGATCGCGAGGATTGGTGGGCAACAATTGCGAGTGAAATGGAAATAGCAACTGCATCAGGGAATAGTCAAAGACTGTTCCAACTGATACGCAATACGGGAGCTTACCGAACAACAGTTAGTGAAACAATCTGCGACAAAAGTGGAAAAGCTATTCACAATAAGGAACAACGGCTTGACCGGTGGGCGGAGTACTTCAACGGACAGTTCAGTTGGTCAGGCGCTAACCGGGCTGTCTCCTACGGTGTAGCTGAGACTTCGTGGGCAGTGTCATCTGAACCTCCTACTGCAGCAGAAGTTCGTTCTTGCATCCAAGCCCTGAAGAAAGGAAAAGCAGCAGGACCGGACGGGCTTCCTCCCACTCTTTTCAAGATGGGAGGCGATGACCTCGAAGACGCCATCACTGATATAATGCGTATATAATGCATTCCTTCAGCCTGGAACCGATCACTGATCGTTCCAATTTGTAAGAAGGGATCTCGCAATGACTGCGCAAACCACCGTGGAATAAGTTTGATCCCAATCGTCACCAAGTTACTAGCCTCCATTATACTTCGACGTCTGACACCGTTTAGGGAGACAAACATCTGCGAACAATAAGGAGGATTTCGACCAGGTCGTGTTTGTATCGATCACATTTTCACCCTACCTCAAGTCCTCGAGCTGCGCCATACGCACCGTCGACCAACGGTTGTGGTGTTCGTTGACCTAAAAGTAGCCTTTGACTCAGCTGATCGTGAATCCCTTATGGGTTCCCTCCTTTGCAAAAGAATGCCGCAGGGGTACGTCAACATACTGAGTTCACTCTACTCGCATACTTCTGGTAGCGTAAGGGTCTACGGCGAGCTGAGTTGGTCGTTCGTAACTAGCAGCGGCGTTCGTCAAGGCTGTCCTCTTTCGCCATTCCTGTTTAATTTTGTCATAGACGAAATACTGGAGAACGCATTAAGTGCTCTCCAAAATGTAGGTATTGAAAGGGCAGGTGGAGAAAAGCTGGGCGATTTGGCGTACGCTGACGACATCGTCTGCTTGTTCGAATGTATAGAGGATGCACAAAGAACACTTGACGGATTAGCAAGTCCTGTAGCTCCGTTCGGCACGCGCTTTGCACCTTCAAAGTGCAAAGTGATTCCACAAGACTGGGTGTCACCGAGTTCTGTTTTGCAACTAGACGGTCAGGAATTAGCTGAAGTTGACTGATTCTCGTACTTAGGTAGCTGCGTGACCAACGACGGTAGAGCATCAAAGGAGATAACCGCCCGCATTTTCAAGGCCGGAGCAGCGTGCACAAGACTAAAGCACCTTTGGCTTAGACGTGACGTTTCATTGAAGTTGAAAAGTCGCGTATCCTGCGCCAGTGTACGATCAGTTTTGCTTTACGCTTGTGGGACCCTGAATTTGCTGGTAGAAGACATCTGTCGCCTAGTTGTTTTCGATAATCGATGCTTACGCAATCTGGCCCAAGTGGGATGGAGTGAGCGGGTGTTTGGGAATGCGTCGAACAAGAACTCGATATGACATTGAACTCAGTTTAAAATGCTCCGTTGGTTAGGACACGTCTTGCTTATGTTCGACGGTCGCCTACTGCCTTATTCGTAGTGGCTGTCTTCGGCTGGAAAGAGCCGCATGGAGTCCAGCAAATTACATGGAGACGAGGCATGAAGAAATGCACAGAGGATTAGGAAAATAAGTGTTCTTCGTCTTCCAGGTTGGGATTAAAAGGACCCCGAAACTGCATGGTTGGGGACAGTGAAGGTCGTAGCTACGACAGCAATGGCGATCTTGCTGTCATTTCTTACCAGACCAGAATGCTTGAAATTGTATGGATGTACAGTTAGACTGTGTGTACTCTGAATAGAGAAGTCAGAAACATGGGTTTGCACAATGTATCCATGGTCATTTCGCTGCATCTGTACACGTGCATACTGCAGTCAAAGTCATTTTATATAGTCAGTGAGATAACTACCGTGAAATGAAGACATGATTGCTAATCACAACACACAACACGACACAGTAACACAAAAAACGGGAGAGGGTGGGGGTAATCACCAAGGNGTAGAGTAGGTGTCTCGTCTTCCGGGTTTGGGTCCAAAAGACTCCGAAACCGCGTGGTTGGAGACACTGAAGGTCATGGCTACGAACCGACAGCAATGGCGATCATGCTGTCACTTCTTATCACACCAGGATACTTGAGATTGTATGTATGCACAGTTGGAATGTGTACTGTGTGTTGACCATAGAGTTTCGCTTTCTTTTCCCGTCCCTAGAAATAGGCCCAATCCCTGTCTTCATTACACATTTTCACTTATCTTGTATGCATTATGCGTTTGGCAGCTATCAGTGACGCGAACTTCACTGTATTACGCTGTACAACAATGATGATGATGATGAGTCCAGCACTCAGCCTCACTAACTGGGGAAGTAATAGAACAGGTGAATACATTTCGTTACTTGGACAGTTACATTCCTCCCGATGGACGCATCACGGATGAAGTGTTGTCGCGCATACAGAAGGCTCGGTTGGCATTTTTTATTACACGCATTTGTGCGGTGAACAGCAGACGGAGCGAAACCCATGGCGAGGAAGACCTGCTACTCCGTTACGGAAACCGGGAACCTATGCCCCGGGATTGGGAATGGCGAACCGCTAGGTTGGGCGTAGTATTGAACCGGCCGACAGAAAAGCTGTCTACCGCATCTGGCAATTTGAGACATCTGTGCTGCCGTCGCGACATCCGGCTGTCTGTGAAGGGTCGAGTGTATGCCGCGGCAGTTTAGCCAGTTATGTTATACGCCGCAGGAACTCGGTCATTATGGAAACAGGATAAAGATTGGCTGTAGGTAGTCGCGGTCGCCCATTGGAGCAATTGGTCGACCTTAGTTTCAGTTTTTAGTTTGAACAACCATTAGCCATGCACTTTTGTGCGCCGGTTTTGATTGCTGTCTTTCGGTTGCCCATTTAAATGAAAAATAGGAAAAAGACGGGAAGGTTGAAAGTGGAATCGAAAAGAAAATTGGGAATTTCAGTGGACTAACGTCGCAAAGAAATTGAAAAATGCACAAATGACACTGTTTACGACCATCCCAAAGTCTCCATTTAGGGAGCCTAACAATATCTATGTGACCCAGACTCCTGGTTAGGGTTTTCATCTCCTCATGCCAGGTCTTAGCTTGACCACCATTGGCTTTACTTCAATCAATACTGCCTCGGCGAACATCGCGCGCCGTGGCAAACTATTTGGTGATATCCATAACACATGCCCCAACTAGCATAATCTATGGAGATCGACCACTTGCTTCAGTGGACGACCGTAGTTATCTAAAACTCTGCACCTAACCTCAGCATTGCTCGTCCAGCTTCCCCATCAGATTCGTGGTCGACCACCCAAGATTTGTTCATTGGGACATGTGTTACGCTTGGCACCAAATAGGTTACCACGACGCGCGATGTTTGCCGGGGCACGAAGCGGTTGGAGAAAGGTCAAGCAAGGTCAAACTAAAACCCGGCATGAGGGCATGAGAATTCTAACCAGGACAATGGGTCACATCGGTCCTGCTGGGCTTTCTGAATGGGGACCCGGAGATTATAGTAACCGGTGGTAAGAGACGCTGTGTGATATGGCTCGATGTCGCAGATAGTGACGCTCGTGCATCTACTCAATATCCTTGCAACCCGAGGCCGTATGAATTCTCCTCTATCTTCCCCTTGAATCTGCTCTCAGCATTCCCGTTTCTATTCTGCTCTTTTATCCGAATCTGAGGCCGAAAAACAGCGACCAATTCAGGCGCACAAACACGTATGGTTATTGGTTGTAAAAACTGAGACTGAAGCTGATGCTGAAACTGTAACCGCGAAAACCTGCTACTCAGCGGTGAAAACCTAAGCCTTAGGAACTGGAGCGGTGAATCACATGGGTTAGGTTAGGTTAAGCTTGGTAATAAAATGGATAACACCAAAGTTTCCTACCACTAAAGTTCGGTAGCGTTGGCAGGGTTCAAACCTTAAATCATAGGGTCTAAAGCAAGTCGGTGACAGTGACTGAATTACTACATCACCACCATCCAAGTTCTGATGGCTCATGACTCTTTAGATCTACAACTGGAACAAGAAGGTTTACCCTCTTACATACCTATATTTCAGCGTATTTACCATAGAATTTACTCATTTTTATTGCTACTAATTTATCTTGTAAATAAAAGCCCTATGTGAATTTCTGTCATTATTCAGCTTATTTTGTAGGTGCCCACAAAACAGCTTCCTTGTCAGATGCTTTGAATCAGTGAATATGCCCCAGGATCTTTTACTGTCCAACTGTTTTATATGTTTTGTTAAGCTGTATAGAATAGCTTGGAAATTAAAATGTCCAGTGGTGTTCAGGTGAAAAGTTTCATCACAAGCCTCTTTCCACTACACATGTTTTTCTTTTACTCTCAAAAAATCTTCCCAATTTTTTCAGTGAAAGACATGAGTACAATTAAGAAACGCTGTTTGCGAACAAGGCGTTCCAGTTCTTCATCAGATTCAGGCGATGAAACAACTGAAAATGCAGAAAAGCAATCATTAGCTGAAGCGAATAATGTGGTGGAAGTTATTCGCGAGCTGCAGAGGGTACGGAAACGTCCTGTAGGGATCAATTTGACCGCCCTTGGCTCCGGCAAAGCGGCGCCGGAGGTGGTGATTGCGAGTGATCCGTTCAAGTTAAAGACGGGTGGATTAGTGTCTATGAAGGATATATCACAAAGTAACAAAGGAGAGGATGATGATGACGTCGAGGTTAGGTTGGCCAAAACATTCGCCACGGAGACCAACAAACGAGATGAGGATGCGGAAATGTAAGTTATTACGACTTAGGATTGATTTAATAACTATTTCAGGATAAAATATATTGAAGAGGAATTAGCCAAGCGAAAAGGTCTACGAAAGACACCTTCACCGGAACCGTAAGTTCCCTTTTATTCCTTTTAACTTTTGGTCAACTTTTTATTTAATGTCACAGCTCAGTCGGTCGAATGATATCAAGAACTTACATCGTGCTGATGGTAACCAGCAACCCTCGCCGTGATTTGGAATAAATACTAAAAGTCTGATTTGGCACTTGGATCATAATATGACTTTTACTTAGTGGTGCTGAACTTTAAGATACGAACCCAGACAAAGTCATCATAAGGTATTCACACCACATATCTGTGTTGCGACCGACTAACCCGTGCTAAATATCATCTCTCAGACTGGTCCCCGGGTTGCGCGATTCCTGCAAATAATTCAAATCCTATTGCTCTCAATCTATATCAAGATTTCACTCGATGTTTGGATCTTTTGTATTGCTCCCAGAGTTACTCACATTGATCGACCAAGTGAGTGGACCAAGCAACGCAACCAAAATCAGTGCGTGCTAACGTACACCGCCGATACCGTCACTAAATTATCACACACCTGGAGGATGTGTTCGAATCTCACCATGACCGCCTGACTTTCCCCATTGTTTGTTGTATGATAACCGTTTGTTGGGCCTTTGTCCCCTCCCTGACCGTTTTATCTTTGTATATGAAACTGAAGAAAGTAAAAGTGAAAAACAAAAGAAAAGGATGTCTATTTGCGGAAACTGATCTGTTTACCCGCATAAAATTCATCTTTCAGTATATTTAATCGCAGTGGTTTAGTCGCTGTCACCGGTGTGCTTTAAGCGCTGTGGTCCTAGGTTTAAGCCCCGCCACTGCTTTACTGTCGCCCAGGTCTGTATCACACCTTACCTAGCGGGGCTGTATGTGATTTGCCACTTCAAGTCCCCGGGCTTAGGTTGCCGGTTACCATCCCGAGCAGCAAGTCTACGTGACCATGGGGTCCGCCTCGTCTGCTGTCCATCACACACTGGTGTGTAATAAAAAGTTACATTGGTGCAATTTGTGCATTCTAGTCATCTGTCTATACTATATGAGTCCACACGTGTGCATTATCCATTTTCGAAGTGCAAAATTCTAATTTGAGATGACAGCCCTTTTGATTCATATATATATATATATATCTTGGATTGGATAAACTAAAAATGAACTTCCTGAAACGATAATCTCTGCGTTACCCTGGCCTCGTTAAATCTATTTTGTGCTCCAATCATTTTCTTATGAAGTAATTCTTTTCTGTCAAATGTCTGTTTAACTTAACTTTGTTTTGGCTATTGTAGACGAGAAGGCTCTGATCTACTGCGTGATGTACCCGAGTATCTCCGGCCTGCCATTGGCCAGCAAAGAGAAGATATGATGTCCAATCAAATGCTCTGTGGTATCCCTGAAGTGGACTTGGGAGTGGAAGCGAAAATGAAGAACATCGAGGCAACGGAAGAAGCTAAACAGATCTTGCTACGCCAGCGCTACAATCGTCGTTACGGTGCAAATTGCGATGGCATGGCTCCCACTAATGTTGCGGTGAATTTCGTTCAACACAGCAGATGGAGTGAGTTCTCTATCTGGCTGTGTGTCTACTTATGAGTTCATTCAGTGCGTTGGGTAGTTCGATAAAATACCGGCGTATCCTCCACTGTTTGTTCCTGTCGCAAGCGGAGAAAGTATCGCATGCGCAGCTTGGTAGACAAACGTGCCGCAGTAAACTGCTAGGTTATACAGCCACACAGTTTACTCATCGTTTTTGTGTGAACCTGAAGCCTGGTCAAATCTGGTCAGATGTTGATCGATCAGCTGTGTGATTGACACTCTTTGTCTTTTTACAGTTGCCCGAGTTTGATGCGAAAATCTTTCGGGTACCAGTCACACACTTCAAGTCCTCCCATCTCACTGCGTCTGTTCCCTTCGCGCTCCAACTCATAAAGCACCCAAGCATCCCGTTTTCATCCACTAGGGAAATACGGCCAAGAAGTTCGTGTAAAGGTGGATTAGAGGAATGAAATTCATAAAAATTCTCTTGGTTCTTTTCGACTTGCAGATTCGAAAGTAAATACATCGTCATGTGTTTGGTTAGCAACCATACCTGTTGCTGCTCACAACTAAATATAGTATCAGAATCGTTAAAAAACCTTTAAATAACTAAATTGGGATGCAAGTCAAACCATAAATAATTGACTTCGTTTACCCTGTTGTGTGACAAACCGTGGCAGATGCACACCCTCTTAGACACAACAACCTAGCGCTCACTAATGAAACTCGAAAAGCTAAGCTGTGAGACTTAGTTTGGCTGCCCATTCAAAGCCCCGATGGGATGGAAGGGGTGCCAATAAGAGCTTGAGTGAAACTGTCTCTTGCGTACCGTGACCTGTTTGGTATCATTCCTCGAAGAAGTTTGCGCCCCCTGTTGAGAGTACCACCAGGGAAGAAACAGTTATCCAGTAGTGTTTTCTGAATAAATAAATAAATTCCAAGTCAAAAATGTTGATTGCGATATTCAGCTGGGGTTTAAATTTAAACCCTTATGGAAGATCTGGTTCGGTAAAATGCTTTTAACAGGAGTTAAAATAAAATATACCCATTCTCCTCTACTGTTTTTTTAGGC